TTCAGGCGCATTTTGCAATTTTTTTGTGGAGAGTGAATTATATTGAGTCGTCAGATCTCCGATGTGTAACGCTCAAGTAAAGTCGGCTGCAGTCAACTAATTGAAGTGTTTTTGCATATGGATTAAAATATCTCAGAAACTAAACATCGGACCTGTCTACTGTAAGTCGAGAGAATTGTTCAATATTCCTTCCTCTTTATAATGAGCTATTATTTATAATTTATATTTCATATTATTAATCTAGCGTTGTTGATGTTTTCACTTTTATCGTGTGATCTAAAGCACATACCTTAGGAATAACCATATCTCCCAGATTACCCGAAAATCCATAACTGTCCTTAAACAATTCCTAAGATTCTGTGATTATATTCCTCTAAAAACCAGACAGCTCCTTGTAACTTCCATTATATTCCCCCACTTCGGCTACGGTTGTTTGCGATATGGACGGCTATTTGCCTTGTTAGAAATGAGACTGAAGACACTCATGAACTGTTTCATAAGATACATCTTTGGGATCCCCAGGCGATCGCATGTTTCACTCTGATACACCGAGTTGAAGTGGCTCTATCCTACTTCCCGACGAAAATTCCTCCTTGATATTTTCCTTTGCCAATTCCTCAGAACCAAAAACCCTCCCTACATCCTGGAACTCCTTACTCTACGCTCCTCTATCCACACTCTCAATACTAGGTCACAACCTATGGATTTATATATCCCCTCCAATAAAGCTATTTCCTTCAGCAAATCCTTCATCATTTGTGCCACCTTCTTTTGGAACTCTCTTCCTACCAACATACGTCAATCCTCGTCCACAAATTCCTTCAAACAACTCCTATTCCACCACCTACTCCATATTCAAACTTTTGCTAATATGTAAAATTACTTGTATCTGTATACTGTTTAATTTCAATCTACTGCACAATTGCAATAACAATAAACAGTTAATTAGCTTGTATTTTTTATTATTTTAAGCCAGACTAATACCCACAAATTTGTAACAGTGTTATTATTCTTGGGGTACTGTAGTCCCAGAATAAAATTATTTTTTCATTCATTCATTTCATACCTTACTTGTTTTTTTATGCTACCCTACTGAATTCTCGTAAATATGTCTGCACTGATCTTTAATTAGCAAGCTTTTCACTTAATTTTAATATTAAATCGTTTATAGTATAATTTTTTTCAACTACTAAATTGAAAATAATTTTTCTCTCTCAACCTATTCTTTTCCAGTTTTTTAGTCTTATTATGTTTCTCCAATTTCTTTTATTAAATTAATGTAATCTAAATCAAAGGTTTTAATACTAGGGTCTGTGTCACCATTAATGTAAATCCGTGAAACAATTTTGGCATTTAACTTCACATCCCCCAACTTTTTGATTAAAATAATAAATTTTAGAAAAACCCTAATTTGACGTAAAATGTAAAAATATAAAAAAAAAATTAAGAAAGTCCCCGCGGACTATATCAGAACTCCTGATATAAATTATTTATTAATTTTTACATTATTTTTCAAATTTAATTTTATCTGTTGATTATTTAATTTATACATGAATTTTATATTAGCTTTGAAAATATAAATAAACAAAATTTTACAGTTTTATCTATTGATCATCCTACCGAATGAAGTAAAATTGTCTGTACTAAATACAAAATGTATAATATTCGCATAATTTATTGTCCTTTCCATTAACCGAGATTTTGTTGTGAATTCTAATGGGTTATTGGAGATGGCAAAGTAGGTTTCGCACGTGCCTTTGTTGCAACAGGCGAGATAAGCGAAGTTCCCAGCTGTCAGTTGTGGTGACGATGTTTGTTATTCTTCCAACGATAGGAATGAAGGATGGAGCGTGACATCTCTAACGGATTCTTCCCACGCTGTTGCTGGCTAGGTATTAGGGTGCTGTATCCCTGCCCTATCTTCGCTTGGGGAGGTCGTCCTAGGAATACATTACCAAGTTCTCTATACGGATCTTTAAAAAAAAATAACCTTTGTCTTATATTGACAAAAAAAAAAAAAAAACACCTTCGAGGTACATACCGGTACATGTCTACTCAACCATTTGTTAACTCTAGTTCAGGAGTTCCCAAACGATGCACAATGGTACCAATTGCGAATCTAGCGGAACAAAAGTCTAAAAACCATATCACTAGCGGATCCAAGATTTAATTTTTTGGGGGGAAGAGGTTCAGCCCGAAAGCTTTTCTGTCATATATATAACGATAATTACAATGGGGAAAAAAAGAAGGATATTAATTACCTATATGAAATGTTGTTAAAGTGATTCTTGAAGTCCTATAAAATGTAATTACACGAGCAATAGTACTTTAGGAGATAATTTTTTTTTCTCCATAAAACATGGTAACATTTTACCATTTGTGGGGGGAGGAGGGCTTCAGCCCGAAAGCCCCTTCCGTAGATCCGCCTGTGAGCAATGTTACTTACAATAAAAGATGTCTTTCTTATCCTGAATAACCTGTTATTATAAAAAAAAATCATTGAATTATTTGTAAACTATTTTTTACCTAAAACTTATGTTTTATTATATTTCATGAAAATTTTAAAATCCAAATATAACATTCCTGTTGTAAAATATCACTTATAATTAGATCGAGATTATCGATTTCATTTATATTGTCTGGCATATATTCGTATCCGACATTGCAAGCTATTTCAAAACAATCGCTTAACACTCTACTTTTTTTCGTATATTGGCCTGTGTCACTAGCGGATCCAGGATTTAGTTTTGGGGGGAGCTTCAGCCCGAAAGATTTTTTTATATATATATATATATAACGATAGTTATTTAGAAAGATAAGGAAAGGAACTAACTAACTATATGAAATAGAGTTTAAAGATTTTTTAACTACTATTAAATGTTATTACACGCACAAAACTGCGATGATACGCGAAAAAGCCAAAAAAAGTTATTGATAAAAATGAGAAAGCCCTTTGTAAAAGTTTCTTTTGACTGACGGAATCAAAGCAGGATAGTCAGGTGTCCTAATTTTCGCTATAACAGTCCTACAATTCTTATGAATTACCATACTCCCACTCACTAGCAGATCCAGGATTTAATTTTGGGGAGGGCTTAAGCCCGAAAGCTTTTTCTTTCATAAAAATAACTATAATTACTTTGGAAAAAAAGGGAGAAACTAATTACCTATATGAAATGCTGTTTAAGTGATTCCTAAAGCCCTTTTAAATGTAATTACACGAACAATAATACTTTGAGAGATAAGTTTTTAATATTTTTTTCCCACTAGCGGAAACAGGCGAGTGGTATGGAGGGCGCTCCCTCTCCGTAGAAGGTGAGAAAAATTGTATAAAAAAAATAAAAAAAATTAACTAAACAACCGGAAATTTTATTATTATTATTTCAGTTGAAAAGTGAATTGTATTAAACAAATAAGTTTTATTTATGCTCTGTACCCAAAACCACGGAATAATTTAAAAAGTCTGAATATTTACACAAAAAATTCTTCTTTTATTGGCTAAATATATAAATATTATAGCAGAAAGTAGTAACTAGAGTGCTCTGATCTCTTGGAGAATATTTTTAATTAAATTTGTGAAAAAAATATGGAAAAATGTCGTATTTTAGTTAGTGCCCGCATAGACATTTGGCGCCACCCGGACAATGGCGTCATCTTCCTAAAACCAAAATTAAATTTATTTGTTAACCTGTTTTATATTAAGCAATATTTGGATTTTATTTCATCTAATATGTCTCTAATTCATCTGTTTTATAAATAGGCTAAAAGTGATCATACTTGTACACTTTATATTTTGTTTTTTTAAATATAAATATATAAAGTCCTTTTTTTCACTTAATACACTCTATAGATACATTGAGGATATAGGTTGTTAAGTTTAAATTAGATCTCTAAAAAAACAATTTTTGAATTGTTTATTCACTTTCTTTGCCTTGACCCATTGAAGAGGTAAGTAATAATTTCTGATAGAATAAATTCACTATGTTTTTAAGTAACAATTTCATCATAAATCATGAAATTTTAATCTAAAAAGGAATTTTTTTTAAATGTGGGATTTATTTTTTCGCCTTATAAGAATTGTTTTTATTTACAGGAATGTCATAATAATTTTCAAATATACTATATAATGGAGAGAGAGAGAGAGATGATAGATTTATTGGAATAATAACAGTACAATCTGCCACAATCTAGGACATTTGGTATTATGGCTCTATGCTTATATTCATTTGTTATATACAAATTAAAATACAAGATAAGAAGAAAACACTATAAAAATAAATAAAATAAGTTGTCACACATTCATTCCTATATGCAATATTTAAATTCAGCCATGCCTTGCTGCTCTCATGTGAAAGACAAAGCTTCCCAACAAAGAGTTCCCAGCACTTCTCTCCCAGCCGCATCACTATGAAAGTAAGTGGAGACTGAGTGAGAACGCTTTAGCCACATATGCTCAGGACTTGAGTAGAGAAGCTGGTCACTGCCAGAACTCCAATAGAATATTTACAAAAGATCTCGGGACCATGGGGGATTATATGGATGGTTGGAACTGAAAAGGGATTAGGATGATGGATAAGTTTTTCATGGATAAGAATCTGGATGGAATTACGTCGAGGACAAGTGGGATGTTGAGATCATAATGTAAGGTTTCGTTTGTGACACAGTATGGAGCATTGCCTCTTGTTTGAAAGACTTTGGATTGAAAAGATTGGCTACATTTGATGTTCGAAGATCACCATATAATTAATTATAGTATAATACATATAATTTGTTAATTATATTTGGATCTCTTCGCCATTAATAATTGTAAATACATTTATACAGCTAGCATTAATTTCGCCATTTTAAATGCCATTTTTAAAAAATTTGATTTTGATGGCTTGGTTCCTGTTCTCCTGATTAATAAAAAAAAATCTTTTTGAATGATATATTTTTTAAAATATGGTACTATTATGAATTTTTTACCATTGCTTATTGTAAAACAATTGTTATAAAATTAACAGGGAGCGACTATCATCCGAATGAATGGATCAAACAGGGGACAAGGTTCAAAAGCAGAGCCAGAAGAAGGCATTAAATTCGGATGGATCAAAGGAGTGTTGGTACGGAACATCCTCAATATATGGGGTGTTATGCTCTTCCTTCGACTCTCCTGGGTGATTGGCCAAGCAGGAATCGGTAATGAATGCATTTGTTAAATTATTTTGGTTTAGGATAGTATATACAATTACTGTACATTCATTTTTTGCATTTTTTTTTACATTTTCAAGTGTTATTTGAAATTAATTCTGTTTTTAAATTATCATGAGCCAAATATAAGGCAATCAGACTAAGAGTGGCCTAATATTCTTTCTATTAGATAAAGAAACAAGTTTTACCTTTTTTTTTCCAAGTTTCTTGAAAACATTAAAGAAAAATCTGGCAAAAGGTTTTATTACTTATTTATATATTTACATCCACTAACAGACACAAGCCCAATTGCTAGCAGTAAATGTGAATCCATGTAGTATTTGCAAATTATTCTAAATTATATGATAATCCTCATAAAGAAGAGTGAAAAAAGCAAGATTCATAAAGAGAATTAACATTTACATCCATGAAAACTAATCCTGTTGGAATTCTATAAAAAACTAAATAAAATATAAAACCAGTATTAGGTAATATAAGTCTACAATGTTCTGTTTACTAAATAGAGTGTATATTTTTTAATTTAACATTAAGAAAAATCAAATAACATATATTATTGCCAATTCCTCGCCTCTCACTAGTGGGCTACTCATTATTTATATATTATTATATTATTTTACATCATACTAATTGTTTTAAAACTTTTACTTTTGAACATTAGCTAATAATTTGTTTTAGGTGAAGGTATAATGATAATTTTGGGATGTTCTTTGGTAACCCTTCTTACCGCAATGTCAATGTCAGCTATCAGTACAAATGGTCTAATTAAAGGAGGTATTTATTATCATTTATTTAATATTTTATTTTTCATTTTCAGATCTTGGTTTCTTATTTTTAACCATCAATTCTTTTCCTCTTTTCCCAGTTCCTCCAAGTAACATATTGTCATTCTGACCTAAATATAAATGTCTGAAAATAACAGTTAACTTGCATACTCGTTTAATTTAGTTTTATTTATGTGCAAGCAGAAATAATTTATATGGTCAGTTTATAGTAAAAATACATCAAGTAACATTTTAGAAAAAAAAAATCACTAAATAATTTGATGAATTTCACCTCTCTAGAATCAAAATCAAACCCCTTGCTCCATCGAAAGCAAAAAAGAACGGGTTTTTGCAACAAACTGATGACATACACATTAAAATGAAGAAAAATATTAATATTTTGGTTTTGAATAAGGAAGTAAGTTATTTTGAATGTTTATGGCCCAAAATATTTGGGGTAATGTATCATTATTCTATAAAAGGCAGGTTCTTAAACTTCCATTTAGTGAACCAATACATAGAACCCTTCTTGAATAATTTTTTTTTTATATCCCATTCCAACTCTAGGAATTTTGTGTTGTTATTTTAATAAATAGTTAGTAACGACAAATACAAAAAATCTTAACAATTTAGAGTTTTTATAAAGTGAGTTTTTTTAAAATAAAAATGAAAAGTTGGAAGGTGAAAAGCTAATGTCCAAATTGTTTTGTGGACCTCAGGTAATGGCCACACGAATCCTAGTGTCATAACTCTACTATAAAGTATTTTAAGAGACACCAATCCATGAACCAATAATTTATTTTTCATTCTACCAAGAAATAATAATTATTAACTTATGATATTGCATCCTTGATTCCAAAATGGACCTATAATTATGATTCAATCTCAGAAAGTTTGGAGTTGAAGAAGAAATAAAGTCATAGAGTGCATTTTTGATTGAATCACTATTGAAGAGCAGAAATACATTAGGGCCTATATGTCAACAAATTTATTATTGTATTGAAAATTTCGACGTCTAAAGCTAATAATCTTAAGTCTGTTTAAGTGCTAAATTTGTTTTTATTCATCTTTCATTTGTAATTTAACAAGTTTTATTTTCAGGTGGCTCTTATTTTATGATATCACGATCATTAGGTCCTGAATTTGGGGCTTCCATTGGCCTAATATTTTCCTTAGCTAATGCTGTTGCATGTGCTATGTACACTGTTGGTTTTTGTGAATCTTTACTGTCTCTTCTGGCTAGTTTTAATTATTCTCTTGTCGATGGTGGAGTTCAAGATATGAGAATATTTGGATCTATAACTATTGTGATATTGCTCGCCATTGTTGTCATTGGAATGGAATGGGAAGCCAAGGTAAAACTAACTAACACTGCTATTATTATTTGAATTATAAATAATAATAAATAACCTTTCATACATTTGTTAGTGGACTTATTATTTCCTTAATCTCATCAATAAAAACATCTAAGAACTTTTCTTTAATTTGATTTATCTAAATAAATAGTGTTTTTTATAAACTTCGAAATGCATTAATTTTATTCTTATCATTTTTAATTTTAGGCACAAATAGGCCTCTTAGTGATATTGCTTGCTGCAATTATAGACTTTTTCATTGGCGCTTTAATGGGACCTCAAAATGATGAATCAAAGGCTAAAGGCTTCATTGGTTTCAGCCGTAAGAGTATTTCAAATATAGTATGAGTTTTTTTTTATCTGTTCTTTATACTTTTTACATATATTAAAATTATATTCCTAAATTCCATAGAAAAATATATTGTATCAACACCTTTTTTTTTTTTTTTTATGCAGTTATTTTTCTTTAAAAGCTCTAGTTTTCTGCTTCTATTTCTCTTTATTTACAGTTTCCTTATTCTTCTTTTTTCTTTTTCCTTTTAACCACCTCTTTGACCCGATGATCCTCAAATCAATCTTATTAATTAGTCTTGACATTTATGAAAACCATAATTAGTATTCATACTATTTGGATTTGATTTTATCGATTTATGTTCTTTTGCAGTTGAAACTTTCAAGGATAATTTTGGCTCAGATTATAGATATGAAAATGGTGTGAAACAAGATTTCTTTTCAGTATTCTCCATTTTCTTCCCAGCTGCCTCAGGATTCCTTGCTGGTGCTAACATATCTGGTGATTTGAAGGTAAAAATGTAAAATTGGACCTTTAATTATGAATATTATTTTCTTTTAAATACTATTTCTTGAATTTTAATTTTATTTTATTTTTTTAGGATCCACAAAAGGCCATTCCAAAAGGTACGATTTTGGCCATTTTTATAACTAGCTTTTCGTATCTTCTCATGGGAGTATTTACTGGCTCTATGGTTTTGAGAGATGCAACAGGAAACATAAACGATTTCATAAACGGAACTTTCACCAATTGTAGTTATGGTAGATGTGCTTATGGACTCCAGAACAGTTTTCAGGTATTATGCACATTATATTATTTTCAGCACGGTTTTGGTGGGGCAGTTGTCTCCTCTTCCAACTTGAAAAAAAATTAAAATAAAATAATAATAAATATAAACAATGAAATCTGAAAAATTTATTAAGAGAACCAGGTTGTTTGATAGTATTCCAATATTCTGAGAGCAACTAATTACAAAAAAACAACTATTTATCTCTTTAAATTGTTTTCTCCTTTCTGGCCATGCCCTGTATTTTCAAATAACTTTTGTTTCTGTACTATAAAATTTTTAAGTTTCATATTTTATTTTTAAAATTTATTCATTCCTCTTGAAATCTAGATTAAATAAAAATATAGTTTCTAAGCAAATTAACTGAATATCCATCTGATATTCCCAAAACTTTTCATACTAATGCCAGTGAACAGGATCTTGTACACTTAGCTTAAAAGGGTGGAGGATAATAAGGGAAAAGTAAATGAATAATCTTATTTATAATTTATTTTATTATAATTATATAATATATTATTTTATAATTATATAATTTAATATTATATAAATATATTATTATAATTATAATTTAATTATAATATGTTTATTAAAATACTTGAATTCATTCAAGCTTCCTTCATGTTAAATTAGCCTTTCACTTCTTCCTGTGTTTTATCGATATTACTCGGAAGGACTAGTACTGTTCTTGATTGGCGTTTGAACTTGTTGTAAAAAAATTAGAAGATCATAAAACAAAGATTTTTTTAATGAAATTAACTCGTTAATTCTATATTTTTATTTTTATTTTTCATACACTACCAAAATTATTGAATATCAGTTAAAACCATATTGAATCTCTAACATTTCTGTGCTTACGAGGCAAGATATGAGTTTAAAATATCTCATTTTGTTGTTCTTCGCAATTTATTTCTGTATTTTGTTGACTTGTGTGTTCTGTTTTGTGAATAAATGTGTTCTACATAAAGTTTTGTTTTTATATAAATCAATAGTCAAATTAACTTTTTTTTCCATTATTTATATTATACCAAAAATATAATGTATATTATTTTATACTTATATGTGTAATAGTTAAAAATAAAATTATATTGGATCAGAAAAAAAACTTTTTTGGTATTTTTAATTCTTTAATATTTATTATAGCTAAACAAGCTTAAATCATAGTGTTCTATGGTTCTTGTATTGTACAACACTTTGGAATTGAGTATAATTGATTTAGTTAATCAGTTAGTTTAATTTAATCAATCTTGTCTTTATTTTCCATTAGTAATAAAACAACTTGCTTGTAGAAATGTTAAAGTAACCAAATTTAATAATTTTACTCAATATTCAATTATTTTTCCTTTACCCTATTATTAAATGTTGTTACTTTCATTAGTGATATTAAAAAAACTTAAGTATGTTGCAGGTGATGGAATTGGTCGCTGCGTTCGGACCATTAATATATGCCGGGTGTTTCGCTGCTACTTTGTCGTCTGCGTTAGCCAGTCTCGTGTCAGCTCCTAAGGTCTTTCAAGCATTATGTAAAGATAAACTTTACCCTTACATATCCTTTTTTGGTAAAGGTTATGGAAAAACTGGAGAACCTGTGAGGGGTTATATTTTTACTTTCTTCATTGCTTTGGCTTTTATTTTGGTTGGTAAGTTATCAATATACAATTAATTGTTGGTTTCTTTATGTTACTAATTAAATAAAATAGATGACATTTGATTTCAGGTGATTTGAATGCTATCGCTCCTTTGATATCCAACTTTTTCCTTGCTGCATACGCTTTGATAAATTTTAGTACATTCCATGCATCGTTTGCTAAGCCTGTCGGTTGGCGGCCTACATTCAAAGTAAATACTAGTTTATACTAATGTAGTTTATTACATTTATTTATGTACATCTATCCATATATTTATATAACAACATTTGATGAAATTATTCATTTTTTACAGTTGATTTTATTTTAAAATGATTCAATACCTTGGGTAATTAATAATTTTTAATTGAAACATGAATATTTCATTTAAAAGTAATGTTATTAACCTTTTCATCATTAATAGTCAAAAGCACAACTAAAAGTTTATTATGAAATACTACTATGTAAGTTTTTCTACTATGCTTCATTCAGATTTCTTTTCAAAAATCTAGTTTTCTCATGATTATGTATTTGAAATTGAATTTGTGATATCCAAATTTACTCTAAAAAAAATATATTTTCATTGCAATGTAAAGAGATAAAAAAAAGTATGGAAGAAGAAGTATTATGTTTATGCCAGTATGGAATAACTCAAACTTTCAACTCGGTATCTGGCATCTGGGAACAGTGGTCAATAGCAGAAATTGTTCAAGTAAAAAACTGCTAGAGTCTGATGTTGATTTCCAAGATCTATCCTGATAACCATAAATCCTGTTTCATAAAACTATTACAATGACAGGATTAATGAATAGGGGTGAAAATTAGATAATGTCTTTTGCATTGAGAATGACTGTTGAATGCCTGGATAAGAAATTTTAATTTTTAATATATGATTCATTAGTTTTTGAGATATGAAGGAGTCAAAAATGGCTTAGTGCAAAATATCAGGACATCAGAGATTAAAGAGGCCTTGTTTTTTTATTATAAGTAGACCAAAGTACTGACTACTTAACGTAGTTCTTTGAAATAAAATCATTTATTACAGTTATAGTACATAAATTCCACTCCCAGAAAACAAGATCTCATGTTTCCGACCTTTATATCCCTACCCATAGAACTAAGACATATGAATATTCCTTTATTGCCCGATCCACTGCCTTCTGGAATTCCTTGCCATCTGATATCCGCCATGCCTCTTCCTTGTCCTCATTTAAATATCATCTCTACCAATTCCTTCTCACATCCCAAAATGATATTGTACAATGAAATAAATATTGCAAAATAGATTTTGACTGAGGTGAATGGTTGTTAAAATTGGTTGAGTTTTAATTTTAAAAATCAGCCCATGCTTACATTATTTTGTTTTGTTTTTTCATTTAAATAATGTTGTTGTTTTTTTTTCAAAATGATGTTATTTTTACTTGTTTTAATATACTTTTACTGAGATACTGTATATTTTCTTTAATATTGATTAATGTAATTTATGGCTAGATGTAGTTTTTATTTTTTTGTTCATAACTGTTATTCATAAGGGACCTCGTCCCAGAATAAAGTTTACTTTCTATCTATCTATCTAAATTCATTGTTTTCTCTTTCAGTATTATAACATGTGGCTGAGCCTTCTGGGAGCTATTATGTGCACAGGGATCATGTTCCTCATCAGCTGGTGGACGGCATTATTAACTCTTTGTTGCATCCTTGCACTCTATTTGATTGTCAGCCATAGAAAACCAGGTTATTATCTATCTTTAATTTAAGTGCTTTTAGTAAATTAATACTTTACTTACAAACGTCATATACTATATGACCCTAATTATAGTTATATAATTACATAATATTCTATTATATCTGCACCAATTTGTTTTGTACAGATGTGAACTGGGGATCTAGCACTCAGGCTCAAACTTATAAGAATGCTCTTTTATCCGTTCATCAACTCAATCGTGTCGATGACCATGTAAAAAATTACTGTCCACAAATCCTTGTTTTATCAGGGTCACCTAACTGTCGCCCACCGCTTATTGATTTCGCTTACCTCATTACTAAAAATATATCCCTTCTCATCTGTGGAAATATTTCAGAGGTATGTTGTTCATTTTATAGTGTATGTGTAATTTTGATAGTCTTCTTATCAATTAATTATTTTGTCTTTCATATAAAATATGAAAGATTGTTTCATCCAGCTATAAAAGTAAACATTGATGCTCAATAAACAAAATATAACCCTTTTTTTTCTAGTCTTAGTTTTCATGTTTGGTGCCATTTCATTATTTTTACTTTAAATAATTTTTGACCAAGGGTCACTTCTAACAAATTCGTTTACTTTACTATCCTTTTATTGCAGATTTTTTGGCTTCATGAGCCATTTTCAAGTGTTGTACGTATAATTTATATTCAGACATAGATAATTAAAATATTTCAATTTTAACACATCATCGATGTTTAAACTTAATGCACTACCATTATTCTTACATAATTTAATGATTAATTTAGTTGAGCTTTATATGTAACCTGTATATTTAATGTATATACATCAAATTAAAAACTGAAAAATTCTAATGGTTTATGACTAATTGTAAATTTTTCTGATAGTACTTGAAAATGATACATGGAGCCAAAACGTAGGCAATAAAAAGAAACTAAAGAAAACCAATTTTTTTTTTGTGACCCTTGGCAGGAAAGTCATTTACAGAATAAATGAAAAAAAAAAAAAAGTATGACCTTTTTCACAATATCAATATTACTTATGTAGTAGTTCAATTTTTCACTTGAATAAAAACCATATTTTTTATCTGTGATTTTTGCAGCTTAGGACCTTGTTTTTTTAAGATATGATAATATTTTATCACTTCTTTGAAGAAAGTCTATTAGAATTTACCAGGTATTTAAGAACTAAATTAGGTAAAATAATAAGAATAATAATATTTTCTGATTGTCCGTTTGAGGCTATATCATTGTTCAATAAAAAATATTAAATAATGAATACATCATTACAATCAATATTTCCATGTATAATTAAAATTCTTATTTCACTGGATAGAAATTTTATTTTTATTCTTTTTTATTAATTTTATTATTAGAGAGCCTTGCAACAGAGGACAAGGAATATGCTGACATTCAAAGCTCAGAACTGGCTATATTACCACAAAATCAAAGCCTTTTTTGCTAGTGTCGATGGCACAACACTCGAGGTGGGTGCCCAGTCTCTTATGCAGGCATCAGGTTTGGGGAAGCTTAAACCGAATGTTCTGATGATGGGGTATAAATCTGATTGGCAAACATGTAAGAAAGAGGAACTTTCAATGTATTTTAATGTCATAAAGTGAGTATTGCACACTTTTATTGTATTTAAATTTAATTTTAAAACATTATGTTCTTTTCATAAACTGAATCATAAACATAGGCCTGGTGTATGATGTGAATTCTGTTGGCTCTAATTGTTTTAATTGCTAGAAAGGAGAGAACTTCATAAAAACTGAAAATAATTATAGATCACATGATATCAGGTGTAAATAAGAAACAATTTAATGGTTATGACAATTCCTTCAATAGAAAGTGAATCACAATATATTAATAATTATGAACTGCACTTGATATTTGCAAAAATGAAAGCACAAAATCTTTCTTCCATGTAGCCTTATTTTTATTATTTTGTAAGTAAACAATTTCAAAATAATAAATTGTAATTTGTATAATATTCTATTCCTGCTATATTGAAAATATATAAAACTCATATGTTATAAATCACACACTTAAGAATCATAGCTTGGGCCAGCCGTATTTAAACACATAAGTGTAAATGGTTCATCTTTTATTTTATTTTAATTTCATTTTGTCTATTTAATGTTGTTTTTATTTGCATGCTTTTATAATTTGATTATGTGATTTTTTTCATTATATGAACTATCATTGATTAACAAATGATAATTTTCAAAATAATCGCTTTTTGTTCTAGCAAAGCTTTGGATTTGTATTTGTCCCTGGCTATTCTTCGTTTACAAGAAGGCTTAGATTACTCTGATGTATTGAAAGAATCGGAAGTAGTAAATATAACTGCGGATAACAACATACCCACCAAAACCAAGGAAGATGCTGAAGTTATGACCAGAAATGTCTCCTATTCTCAAATTTCTCAAGGTTAGGCAAGGAAAATACAGAAAGTTATTGGTTATGTTTTTTATTAGTTTAAGTTTTCTTTAATTATTTCTTCTTTTTAGCTAGCAGTACTAGTGATTTATCTGTCCCTTCGACTCCTATTACCTCCAGATCTGCTGTTAATAAGAATCCAAATGTTGAAAATGAAACTCCAGTAGCTAAATCGACACCAAAAGAGGAAAAAGAATATCATTTCTCAAGAGCTAATTTATACAAGTAACAATTGTTAATTGGTATTTTTGCTTAAGTAATCCAAAACTTATTTTATTTTTTGTTTTTTTAGACTATTTTCTTTATAGTCGGTGGTACAGGCACCTTTTTATCAAATTATTAACGTCCGTCTGAAACTTCATGAATAGCTTCATCTCATCATGACCTACAAATATTTTATTTATGAAAACTCTTGGAATTTGGTTGTTTTCAATCTGGAGATCGGTAAACTTTGTCTACTTAATTAGCTACTAAAAACTCGTAAATACCTATTTGTTTTTCACTTGGATCATAAGATAATTTGATCACAAAATCGAGAAAAAAGGTTTTCTTCAAAAATATTGGGCCATTTGGTCTATATAACCTCATTATTTTGAAATGTGGGTCATGCCAAACGGTCCAATATTTTTGTAGGCCACCTTTTTTCTTGATTTAGTGATCAAATTGTCTTACGATTCAAGTGGAAAGCAAATGGGTATTTACAAGTTTTTAGTCCTTAATTAAATAGACAAAGTTTGCCGATCTCCAGATTGAAAACGCCCCAATTCTGAGAATTTTTGTAAATATAATAGTTTTAGGTTATGATGACATGAAGCTATTTACAAAATTTCAGGCAGATGTTAATAATTTTATGAAAAGGAGTCTGTACCATGGACTATTAGACATATATCGGATATATAGATACACATCCAGCTGTTAAAAAAACTATGAACTATCCTTGCCAGCTGATTCTCCTTGACTTTATAAAACTTTTAATGTTTTCGTTTTCCAAAAATCTTGGTCATCATTTTCTCTATACCATTTCTGTAAATTCTCTCATAAATCATTCTAATAATATAGCGTTTCAAAACACAAACTGATTTTCCGGGTTTATGTTTGGAAAGAAATTATAATTATTCTCTTTCTCATTTCTTATCCAACCTTTTCACTATCATTATGAGTTCCAAGATATGTAAACATTTTTACATTTTCAAATAAATTTTCTGCAATGGTGAGGTCAATTCTGTCTTTTCTTGTAGTATAAGGACTCTTAGGATATTTCGCCTTATTTTTATTCCACACGGAATGATTTGCTGAATTGATTTCCTTTAATTATTTCAACTTTAGCATGGCTAAGTGTCACTTTCATCAAATTTATAATTTTATAAACACCTACATAAATTTTATAATAAATAATTTTAAAAAACCCAATACTGTTTTTGGGAGAGATGTTCATGATATTCTGTCAAAAGCCTTCTGAAAATAAATTAATGTAATATTATTATAGAATTCAGGTATAAATAGCCTGTATTCATGAATTTTTTTTGCCAAGGCTTGTCTTAACACAAATATTTGATAAATGGTGCTTCTTTTGATCTAAAGCTGCACTGATAGCCTGATCCTCATATTTTGTCTAAATAAAATATATTTTAATAAAAAAATAATGTAAATATACAAACATAGTTCTTAGAAATAGAAATAAAAAACCAAAACAAGAATAACAAACTGTAGAAATTTTTTTTTAAAAAATGCTAGTAAGATTATTAATTTTTATAAAAACAAGCTTAAAATAATTTAAGAAATTCTAATTGACACTGTGTTTACTCTGGCTCTGCTTTTAAGCTATCAGTTCATTAACACTAATCATACCAAGACTTAATATATACCTATTTCTACCATAGCGGGTCAAATGACCCGACTTTATGTTTCATGCTTGAATGTATGAAATATGGATGTTAGGAATGAAATAAAAATATAAATTAAATTTATTATGATTAAACAAAATAGTATGTTGAGCATTTCTATTACAAAAGCAAAAATGTATGAAGTGGTGCTCTTCCAGGTGTGCCACCTACTTGCATTTGTTGCCAAACAGATCCATCATTCGCAACATTTTTTTCATTTATTTCTACTTCACTTTCTTCCGAACTTGTGAGTAATCTTATTCTTTTTCGGCCACTACATACATTCACAATATTTTCCTCTTCATCGTCAGTATCTGTAGAATCAAACTCATTTTTATTTGCAACCGATATATCTTCATTTTCAGAAAATTCATCTTCACTAATTTCTGAAAACTCTTCGCCAATATTATTTATATCTTCTAAGAACTTGTACTGTCTTGTTTGCTTCGACATTTTTCTGGGTAAAAAATGATCTGTATTACTATAGCTATCAAAATAAAATATAAGCTAGGTACTTACCAAGACTTTCAATTTTTGCCACTTTTTCTTACACTAAAAAGCTATTTTCAATCTAAAATTTGATATTTTCTTGAAATTATTCTGAGCTATTTTCGTTGAATTACTTTACGCAACAGTCTTTGGAAGAATGTGCAACTTACTGACTACAAATATGACTAGATAATCTCATAAAACAAAAAAATTCTCTCCAGGTCAAATGACCTGTTGTGGTAGATATCGGTATACAACAAGGATTACTCAGAATAAACAAAACAAAACAAAACAAAAATATTTTTATAACTGTACATTAACTACTTAGAAAAAGTCATGAAGTCAAATGTGCAAACGCAATAAAATTATACGTGCATTTTCAATGGAAAAGTTCAAAATGGGTCATTTGACCCGTTATGGTATGTTTAGTGTTAATTAAACGTAATCCATTTTTTCATTCATAACTTTATATACAGTTCTTATTTCTAGTATTGGTAAAAGTAGAGAGGACAATCCTAGGAAATGGACTAATGGTCTAAGTAATTATTTTCTTTAATTTTTCTTGTTATTAAAATAAATTTAAAAAATATAAATAAATTGAAGAGTAATTTTTATTTATATTCATGGCATTGTTTGTTGACTGAATGACTTTTCTGGCTTGCGATTGTTTCAAAACTTAGATTACTAATGATTATGTAGATTAATGATGTACAGATGGTTGACCGTGATATAATATGAGAAGGAATTGATCAGGGAGTGCAGTAAAATAAATACTTAATTTTAAAAAAAATAGTATTTTTAATTATGCTAACGTTTCGACCCACCTTGCAGGTGAGGTACAAAAGATACAAAATATCTTTTGTACAAATACAAATTTTGTATCTTTTGTAGTCCTGAAGAAGATCTGCAAGATGGGTCGAAACGTTAGCATAATTAAAAATACTATTTTTTTAAAAATTTAGTATTCATTTGACCGCACCCCTCGACCAATTCCTTCTCATTATTTAGATTAATTCTGGGAAATGTTATAATTTTATCTGATTTTAATATGTCTCTACTGTTATCACAATTTCATTAAAAATCACTTAACGTACTCATTATTTAATTTAGTCAAACTCATATTAAGTTTCTTTTTCATGACCTACCTTTTATGTTTCTTTTTGATATTTTAAGTGCTTATTTATAATTTATTTTAGAAATGCTGGAGGAGTAGAACTACCCAAAGAAGTTCTTAACAATTTAACCCAATTCAGGAAGAAACAGAAGAAGGGGATCATTGATGTCTGGTGGTTATATGATGATGGAGGTAACTGATGAATTCCTTACAAATACTACATTAATCACATTTTTTTACTGTTTGCACAATTTTTATAATTCTGAATAAATAACTGGATTAAAGCATGTTTCTAAATGTCTGTCTGTTCTGATGTAGGCAAATTGTCTATAAGTTGATTAAATACAATGCTTCCCTACCTTAGGTAGTGAGGAAGCAAAAAATGTTAAGACCAATTTTAAGATTTATCGAAGCCCTTATACCAATTGATAGTACTTTTTCTTCTCTTTTCATTAATAATAAAAAGTAAAAAAAAATGTACCATTATATACTATGTCTATTTAACTTATTTTATTCATATGAATCAGCTTGAGTGTTTGACCAATAATAGCAGAAAGATAAAAAATATTTTGATGACTGTCATGTAAGAACTCTAGTGTAATATTTTAATTTTATTCAGGAGTTGGTTTAATTATTACATTTTGGTTTTATTATAAATAATGACATTACCATTTAATAATTTCTGTATTTAGGGTTGACATTGCTACTGCCATATATCATAAGTACTAGAAGCGCTTGGGTAGATTGTAAGCTTCGAGTATTTACTCTAGCAAACAAAAAAGATGATCTTCTCTTCGAACAAAGAAGGTGAGCATTACATGAGTAATCTTGAGCGTTAATTATTAATTTTTCTGATATTCCATTCCATTCATATATATATTGTTTTAACAGTATGGCGAGTTTATTGTCTAAATTTCGAATTGATTACTCTGATTTGAAAGTGATCCCTGATATAACAAAGAAACCTCTGGATTCAACAGTTTCCTATTTCCAGTCACTTATTCAGCCTCTTGGAAAAAATGGTTCTGGTGCAGGTATGTCATTACTATACAGAAGTTATAGCAAAATAAACAAAACGCTACTATTGTTATAGTGCAAAAGGTCATATGTAACAATTTTACATGTTTATTCTATTTTAGCTAAAGATGACATTTTGTAGTCTGCAACTGCAATAACTAGTCTGCTACTATAGAAAATAGCATAAGGAAATAAAATATGAAATTACACTAATAAATCATAAAGAAATAACCAGTTTTTAGGCTCTTCTGTAAAATTATTTTTTTTTTTTTGTCTTTAATTCTTCATCCGCACCTGTCATGGTAGTGGCAATTAGCAGATTAGCTGTCAAGTTGAAAATGGCATGATAGGCATTTTGGACTTTCAGTAGCAAAATAATTCTAGTTTTGATTATAAATGATATTTTATGTACATTTTAAACAAATTATTTTCCTGCTGTAATTAACTGGATTTTGTGGAATTTTAGTTTTAGACATAATTTTTTTAAATCTATTACTATTTTTAATAACAATTATTATTGCAATGAGAATGAGTTTCTCTATTTCTCTTGTTTATTAGAATTGTAATCATTAATTTAATACTAATCATCAAAATAAGTTAAAAGATAAGTTGAAACTTGGTATACTATCGTTGAAACTAATTTTAGTTTCACATTTAATATTTTTTATTTTTGCAGCTGTTACAGAATCTGAATTAGAAGCAGTACAAGATAAAACAAATAGGCATCTGAGGTTGAGAGAATTGCTGCTTGAAAACTCTTCAAATTCTAATTTAATTGTCATGTAAGAGAAATTAATTTTCTTTTTTTTTTTTAATATACTTCATAATGTTATAAGGATTCAAGTTTTTCAACTTGATCAAGTTTTGTTACTTAAGAACAGTTGGTAAGAAATATGCTAACTTATGAGTTCAATTTCAATTGAAAGGAATAATTGAATCTATACCATAGTGGGAGAAAAATAAATAAAAAACGGAATTATAAGTCATAATGAAATTACTTTGAAATCTTTAACCTAAAATAAACTAACTTCTGTTTAAATTAAAAAACAAAGGGCTAATAATGGGCTAACTACATGTTTTTATTTTTTTCATGTTTATAATTATGCACTCAAGGCATGCATGCATTACATAACATTTGGGTGTAAACTAAAATATCCTATGATATATTCAAATAAAAAATTATTAATTTTCAAAGTCGCCATATCAGGCTTAATAATAAGAATGGTATGATTGACAGCTAAGGCCAGTATGACGTTCTCCAAGAGATTTTTTTACAATGAGGTTTATGTAAGTCACGGATTTTAATCAGTCAACTTTTGAACAATAAATTTGTTTTTAAAACTTAAATTTCTTATGTAAATTCTTAGCCTAGATATTTTAGGTAGGTATACATTTTGTTACTAAGGAAGCTTTCATTATAGCCTTTATGATGTCATATCCTCCCATCATCATAAGATGAATGATGAACAGATTGGATTACTTGGTAGAGCAAGGATACCAGGAAATACAATAGTAAGAGTGATAAATCAACTTCAAGTCTTCATAGAAGGCAGAGACGGAGGATGCCGAAGATGAATTGTAAATGCACTTCGTCAAATGTTCTTGCTTTGCTTGGAGATCCTTATAGACACTTCCATATTGTACAACGGTAGTAGCAACTGGGGGGCAGGGTGGCCAAGCGGGATAACGGGTTACCTGGTAATCTGATAAACTGAAGATTATGAGTTCGAGTCCCAGTTCTGTAGCATTTTAACTTTCCCATTAATCCTCCACCCTATTTTCTGGCCCAGGAAAAACCCATATAGTCAAAAAGTTAAGACAGGGAAGACAAAATAAAAAAGTAGTAGGAAGTAAGTAGGAGTCTAAGGGGTTCAAATGTAAATAGATGATGAAGATAATGTCGCTTTAAGATGAAAAAGGCAACTATTAAAAGACAAGAACACATCCAAACTTAAAAAGTTAATATCGCTGTCAGTATTTCTTCTTATTTTCATTTCAGTAATGAAAAAAGTATGAGCATAGAGAATAATCAGGTTTATCTGCATTATAAAAGGTTTTCCTTGGTCTACTAGCGTTTTTAAAAATATTTCCCATTAGGATCAATAAATATTATAAAAAATAAAATAGAATTTGTTTTTCTTTGTAGGACTCTTCCGATGCCGAGGAAAAACATCATTACTGCATCACTATACATGGCGTGGTTAGAAGTACTGACTAAAGATATGCCGCCGTTTCTACTAGTTCGGGGGAATCAGCAATCAGTGCTCACATTTTATTCGTAATGGTAAAAACCCTAAAAATTTACAAGAGTAATTAATTTTTTTTAATACAGTTAAAGATAATATTTATTAGTTATTTTTTCATTATTATTATTACTGTTACACATGTACATATAGATATGATAACTGTGGAAATTGTAATTACAGTGGATTCTGCATTTAGAATGACTCAGGGAAGAGAAAACCACCCAGTTGTATTATAATTTAATTACTTTAATCATTTGATAAACTTGTTGTTGGTAGATGTTATTTAGTGAGAAATATCCTCTCTGCTGTCTTCCTCTTCAGTTAGTCTTCTTACAGACATCATAGCTTTACGATACTCTCAACGGTAAGAATGTTGAGATGGATACCATTTGAGTTGATCTCTGTTCATTGAATTAGGATAAAATTTGGTAATGATATTTTTGTAACCAAAATTTAAATATTTATTCATTTTGGTTCTATACAGTTTGAATTTGAAAAATCATAGAATGTAGTTGACTAATTTTGAGTTATGAGAAATTGTGATCAGATCTGGAACCATATTACGATGAGGCCCCACTGTATCTTAACTTACAATTTTATTGTATATTAACTGTATATTAACTTTTTTTTATTTAAAAAATTAATTTTTACACAATTATTTTTAAAAATTTAAACCTTAACATTGTTATTATGACGTTTACTATGGTTCCTCATATTAAAAAAAAAAAAATTCTGTTACATTTCAATTTCAAAAAATCAATATAATTTCTATTATATTCTTATTATAAAAAATATCCAAAAACAAGGATACGTTTTAACCACAATTTTTACTCCAACTCTTAATTTTAAAAAGTATGTATATCTAAGCAGTATTATCAATGACTGCTTCTGTGATAGAAATATCTTTTTTGTTTGTTTCTTCAAGACAGTTGGCCTTAGATATTTGGCGTTCCTGTGTAATGATGTCATTTTCTCTCCCCTAAAATAAAAATTAAATTTATTTACTTAATCTTTATTTGTTTTGAGGGAACAACCCCATATAAATAGCCTACCCTTTGTATTATGAACATTACTATCCTTAAGGTAATACAATATAAAAAAAATTAAATTTATTTCATTCAATATTTCTTTGATACAGTTGAATATAATATGTTTTGATTTTTTTTAAAAATTTCTAACAAGTTGCAAGTGCCCTTGACGATCGGCTCCCAGGGGCAATTGTCCAGCTCTGAGGCCAGAACTCATCTAGGAGTCTTTGATCCATAAAGTAACACAGAAAAGAAATTTGTTCAAAGTCTTACGTCTTTACTGATGTCTACATTAATAACTCACATAATATGGATAATGGATAGAATAATAGATATAATGGATATTTGACAGAATATACCATTTACTATTTACCTTCTTTATTGTATGTTCTCATTGTTTTCCACCATTTATTTGATAGTTTTAACAGCATTTTAGAAGTTCCTGACGTTTTCCTAAAAGTTCTATTTCTTAATCAAACTCAAAATAAGACTTCCTTGACCGTAATAGAACTCGCATCGAATCCTTTTATTATTTTCAAGTTTCTAATTCTCATGATTGGTACATAATCCTTCTGTTTCATTTATATTATTGCATGAAAATTTTAGTCGTTTAGGGATTAGAGGTGTAAAACCCCAAGGTTATCAACGACTATTGGGCGTCTTAGTTTCATTTTGATCTTGTTTGAATTCACAATGCCCTTATTTTTTCAACAACTTAGAATATGCTTCCTTTTATGGATTGAAATATGTCATCTGTATCTAAATGAACATTTATTATTAAACACTTTCAAAGCTTCCAAACGTTTTTTTTTTTTTTTTCTAGTTTCAATAATTCTACTACAATGCATTATCATCATTCTAATTATTGTAAACAATCTTTTCCTTTTTTAGTGCAATGAATAATCATTCATCTAAATTAAGTATTGTTCTTTGATTTACTGTAATATAAAATACTGAAGGATACTGCTTGTGTTCTATCATTGGCCTTCAACATATTGTTCTGTATCATTTTATTGAAAGATTTCCAGTAAATCATTCTCAAAAATGAATTCAATTCATTTATTTTTCAAGCTAATCCCTACCATTTTTTAGAATCCGACATGAGATTATGCTCTTGCCTTTAACTGAGGCATCTTTTGTAAGTGTGTAGTTGTTTGGAACAAAAAGCACTTTTCGAATGTAAGAAATGGACTACTTCATGCTCCGTTTTTCTCAATTGCTTTTAACATCATCAGGCATAGTAAATCCTTAGGTCATTAATTCCAATTTCTGAAAGGATTAAATTTCTTTTCTTACCAAAGCTAGAGTCAATCCGACTTTAACTATTTCAATTGAAAGTTCAAATCGGCTTGTGAGGTCTAAAATGTCCAAATAAAAAGTTAAATAAATCATACTAATTGATAAGATTCCTGTTACTATTGAGTATTTTATTTGTAATAGCAATTTCACTTCATGTACACTAGTGTTATTATTTATGTATAATAATTAGGAACAAGTTCATAAAAAGAAAAAAGAAAACATAATAAAAATATTGTTTATTGAATAAATGATTTTTTTTTTAATTTAAATTTGATTATCTTATGTTAGTAGCACCAATACATTTCAATAACTTAAGACTAAAGGACTAGTTAGTAAAAAGCAGGATGTTCTAAAAGTATAAGTACAGTCATGTATAAACAGTCTTCTTATGTTATATTAAGTAAATACATTAATTCCAAGGAACATTTTTGTATTAACTTGTTCCTAACTGTCGCGCACATAGGACATAGCAGTTACTTACTATACATCATAAATAAAAGTAACATATTTAAAAATATGCAGTGCTTTGAGGACTGTTGTGTAATACTTAAAACACACTTGTTTGCAAAGATATGCAATAATATAGATGTTATCCATTTGAAACCGTGATATTCCAGCAAAAGCAGCGCATAGCTTTATTTTCTATAACATTGATGTTTCTACAACTGAAAATGGACAAACAAATCATAAAGTGTGTAATTAACCATTTTAAAAAAGGTAAGCTGACAATCCGATACCATTTTTTAAAGATATAATATAATAATGTCAAACATAAAAATACTAATTATAATGATTATATAAACATATAAAAGTCACACATATTAATATGATTCACTATGGCCAATAGTCACCCTACATATAGTAGATAATATAATGATAAAAACTATAATAACAAAAACATATAAAATATATAAAAACTTAATAGAATTAATATTGTTTAATAAAAATTAAAAAATCTTTTTACTGTGCGTTCTGAAATTGAAAACAATTATTCCTTATAAGAGAGCTAATTTAAGTACGATAGTTCAGATCTTCATTGTAATTTAAACATAAAATTTCAAAGGAATAAATATATTATTCATATAATACATTATTTGAGCATATTCTGTCATGTCTCTCTATTTTATCAGTCAAGTATGAAAAACTTAGTTATGTAAATCAGTTTGGTATCTTAATTTTTAAAAAAAAAGAGTATTCTTTGCAAAAAAAAACTTATATAATTACCCTTATTCAAAATGAAAAGAAAAGAAACTATATTTTTCTAGGATAAATTATGATAAATCCAGAAAACAAAAAAAGGTAGTCTATGATTTTTGCAGATCTTTCGTTACAAGATAGGTAGCAAGTTGTAGTATTATCGCCATATTAATAATAGACATTATTAGAGTTTAAATAATGCTGGATTTAGTTAATATTTCATTAATAATATTCCAGTAAATTAGATTAGGTGTATCCTAGCTAATTCCAGAAGTATATATTGTTGACTTTCAAGCAAACGCTCACTAAGTCCAACATTGTGAAACATTCACATTGCATATTCATATTATAGATCATTTCTTTATTTAGAAAATCATATATTTTAACATTTCAAAGTAATTTTTCTGTACTTCGATGCATTCATTTATTCCTTCCTGTATGCAGTTTTTTCACCAGACAGAAATCATGATCATACAAAATTTAACAAATGGACTTGGTGAATTTTTCTCTGATGTCTACAATATCTTTCAATTTTAAATTAGTATTAAAATTAGATAACAGATTCTCACTTATATTGACATTATTATTACATAGTTACATTGGAATAAAAATAATGAATTCTCAACCAACGTAGGTATCTAGACAAGAAAAATGCCATCTAACTTAACAATAATTACTAGGCAAAATTGTTTGACAAAAAATGCCATTATAGACATATAACTGAAATAAACAAAACATGTGCACGACAATATAAAATTTGGAGAAGAGAAAACTACAGCAAATTAAGAGAAATGAAAGAATAACTTCATTGAGCTTAAATAGACAGTCATAATTTCTTTAAATATTTGCTGCTGTGATGCCAAGAACTGGCAAGATCTTAGTTAAAATTGACATCTGCTGATGTCTGCAGAGAGTAGAGAACATATAAAACATTTTCACAGCAAACATTTTTTAAAATAATAAAAACATAGATGTTAAAAACATTAAAGCAATATTAATACTTGTTCAACAGGCATTTGGCATTGTTATAGATAATAGATTAAACATTTCTATATTAGAAAAAATGGTACTCCTTAAACAGCGGGACAGGACGAAACCTCCCTTGTTATCTAATGTTACATCACATAACCTTCCTTCTTATCTGCTGTAAGCTCAGTTATTCCATCCTTTATTTTTGTTCCATTAGTGTGATTTTCGTCAAATTATATTAAATTGTGGGAATTTCCGTCTTCAGAAGAAGAGGCTATCAAATATTTTCAAGACGCCGGGATAATTGCAAAAGGTGAAATATTGTGATGAATGAAGTTCGACGGGAAGACGAAATGAAGATACTTTCGTACCACTAGTAACAAAAACATTTCAATCAATTTCAATTTCAAATCAAATTGTTTTGTTATTATTACATTTATTTTCGTCTATTTAATGTATAAATGTATATATATATATATATATATATATATATATATATATATTTATAACTTTTCCTTAATCGACCTTTGAGTATTAAATTTAAACTATTTAATTGGGAATAAGGTCACTTATTAATTATTTAATTAACTATTGAATCTTCATTTCTTCTATGTTTATTGACGTTTCGATCCCGGTATTTTCTTTTTATAAGTCAATGATGGGATCCTCTTCAAAGCTAGAGTTTTAAAAAATGGAGCTTTGATCAGGCCAGGGACACACCGACAGTTTCAGCACCGTCCACTAGCACATATATTAAACTACTTTATATATCTGTTGTAAAATAAAAGTATTTGTTTATTATTACATTTGTTTTTGTTTACAATTTCAATAATATCAATATAATACAATAAATATGAATACGAAGATAGGAATTATCAGTGTTAAGGTTATAAACATTGGGAGATAGCAGTGGGTCCGGACTATTACGGTAAGTAGCTATTTAAGGAGTACCGAAAAAAGATAAAAATAGACTTAAGCTGTAGGTGAAGCAATTGTTGCAGGAGTAACTTTAAAGCCAATATCAGCATTCTCGGTGGGAGCTGTTGGTTCAGGCAAAGGTTGTAATGGCGGGTACAGTGGTAGAGGTTTATTTGGATCAGCTGTTGGTTGGGAGACACCATTCACTTGGTACAATGGTACAGTTCCCAAGGTAATGGGAAATGTTAATAGCAGGTTCTTATGAGGGCCTGTGGCACATGCCTCCATCTGAAACAAAAACAAATTTTTCATTTTATAAACATAAATTAATTTTAGTTTTTATTTGCTCTAAGATAAACAGTATTAGTTCCTAAAAAAAAAGATTATATTATGTAACATTTAGATGCAACAGAATTTTCATGATTAATTTTGTTTCCACCAAGCTAACAGAACAGTTATATCTTATGATGATCTACTGATATATTTATTCATTTATTTTTTAATAAGTCTAAACACATTTACGGGGAGTCAAAAAGCGGGAGTATGAATGTAGTGCACAAAACACAAAGAATTAATTTATGTGGCAGTGAATTAAGGCAGTGTAAAGAGAGAGGGAGAGTCAGATGTTTTTAGGAGATTGAAGGAAACAGTGACTGGAAAAGGTGAAGAGACCAACGTGCATTGGAGGAAATGTTAGCTCTCTCCCTCTGTAACTGCTGGAAGAAGCGGACTTACATAGATGAAATCTTTGGTATTTTTGAACGATATTCATATTTATATTAGTTAGTAAATTTTACATCAGCTTTAGGTTAGTCCATAAGTTCTTGTTGTTTAGTTATAAATAGTTAAGTTTAGGTTACTCCTTAGATTTAGTTTTATTAATTATCTATAGTCTATTGTTTAGTTGGATATTTCATTGGGCTATTTATAGTCTGTTCGTCTAAATTGTGTACATCAATAATAAATGTTTTGATTTTGATTATTTATTAATAAAACATATGTTAGGTTAATAAAGTGGATGGTTGTCTATTTAAGCTCACGTATATGAACGTTAAGACAACCATTATTACAGTCTACATACATTTGATCATATTTACTAGATGTATTTTTTATTTTTTTAAACAGTTGTAAATATCATGAATAAAAATTTTGTTTAAATAAAGTTGTATAATGTTCATATCTAAGTTTATAGTCCTGACAAAGACCTTTTAATTTCAAAATGTTGGCATATAAAAAATAAATAAGTTTTATAAATAATGTATGTTATCAATCTAAAATAAATTATTGCGAATTATTTTATAATTACCTCTAAAAAGAAATCTACTTTGATTATGGAGCAAGCATCAAGATTGAGAAATGGCATGTGCGGAATATCTATGTTCTGAGTCCAAGATTTCGATCCATTCGGTAATACTTCATCTAGTTCTACTTTCACAAGATCAACGTTATCAATTCTTTCCTTCGAATTTGGAGACTTAGCAATCCACTTCAATACCTTCAAATTAAAAAAAAAAAATGAATATGTAAATATAGTAACTATTAGTAATGATGTTCCTCTGCCCATATTAAATAGATAAAATAATTAAAGGAAAGAAGATATAATAAACAAAATACAATTTCTCTTTACAAAAATTATGTATAGGGCCAAAAGATGATTAATCAAATCATAATAGCCAATATATTATAAATTACTAAGCAAGAATAATACCTTTTTCAATTTACACTTGACTGCTGATATCCTAACATTACTCGCATTATCTACTTCAATAGTAGCAACAATTGTTTGTGCAGGAGTATAACCACTAAAGGGAATTGTCCCTGCTAACGTCAATGGTCCAGATTTACAACATAAACAGCAGAATGTCTTGTTTGCTTCTTTTTTCATAGGTTCCTAGAAAATAAAAAAAATAAACATAAATGGAACAATTATAATCATGGGAGGAGAACAAGTAAAATTCATATTAGAACTGAAATCAAATGAAAATTATGATTATATTATATATTTACTGTCGTAAGGGGTTTTTACTATAATGTATTAGTTCTATTTTTATTATAGCCACAATAGTGGGGTCTAAAGGGGCCATACACTTTCACATGGGTAGTATAACAAGAGCACGGATTAGTTTTTCTTCATTAGTGGAGAATGAAGTGCGGATAATACCTATCACAATAATTTATTAATACATCAATTAATTCAATAGAATAAAAACCAATTAATTAGTTTGTAATTATTTTACTTTTCGTCATTACACAATAAAATAACTGTAAAAGTGACAATAACCTTCGACTTATTGGATGCCATAATGGAAAACAAAGTGCAAGGGTCCAAAAATAATGCCAAATTGTTCGACCTATAAGAAAGTGTGTGGGTACTGTCACACAACATTCAAGAAGAGCCAATCCTCAATAATTTAAATCATACGAAAGTGTATGGAGAGACCCCTTTGTTTTAACTATAAATAACTGACTATTAATATATCAAATTATTATGGTATATTATGATTTACTTTAACTTGTGGGAGAAGATTTAAATCAACGGGCGTTACAACAGTTACAAACAAAGTTGTTGTTTCATCCATCTTCCATGGTCTATCAAGAGTTGCTTTTATAGTATATCGAACATGGCCATGTTCCCCATCAAATGAAGTTGGCAGTCGAGGAGGCAGTGTAGTGGAGAATGGATAGACATTTTCTCCAGCAGGTATTTCCACTTCATCTAAATTAATAATTAATTTTCAGAATCAATAAAAATATTTTTTAAAGTTTTTTCTCACTATGAGTTTCATAATTTAACCTCTATTGATAGCAGAACAACATATCTTAAAAAATAATTTCAATATTTTAAGACAAAACTATTCTCATAAATCCTAATTATTATCAGTCACTAACTAACCTCGTAACAGAATGGTAAAGGCTCATTGAGAAGAACAAACATAAACAATTACAGAGCCATAAAAATAACATGATTCCAGATAACAATTTATAGAACCAGTATAGGACTCCAGCGGAAGTCTTGGGCCAACGAAAGGAAAAAAAAATTGTATAGAACATAAAAAAGTTTCTTTGATGTTAGCAAAAGAATCCACTTTATAGAATGAATTTATTAAATTTAAGAATAATTAATTATTGAAAAATGCAAACTTAATTTCATAAATAAAAATACAAGTAGAAAACTGTTTATTTATTGAATAATTTAACAATTCATGATGACCAATTCAAAACTATGTCTTTTTGATTAGTAAATCTGAGAAGGTAAAGAATAATGTTGAAACAACAATGATTGATTAATTCAACTGTCAGATAATAACATTTAACAAGTTTTTACGAGTGAGATTGGATTTATGCTATACTTCCTGCACTACGATTCCTATCCTATACACATATTAATAAAGAAAATAGAAAAATAAATTTATTCCAAGTTTAATCAAAATCTTAGAGCTGTTTTCGAGAAAATCATAAAAATGTGCATAACCGTTGATATAAAGTGGCAATTCCGGTTAGCCGATTTTAACGAAAAAGTTGCTGTAACACTGGAACCATATACAAACCTTAAATACGCGATTTAATTTTCATTTTTGAGCTAGGCTGTTCACACACACGTGGACTATTTTTAGGGACTTGGTTATTTCAACTTGGGGTACCTCAAAACATTTCTTTCCGTTGAAAACTGATTAGAAAATTTTCATGATCGCAATACTTTCCCATAGTATATATATACCATATAGAGGAAAGTCAAAGTAAAAAAACATTAAATAAACTAACAATATGTAAATCAAATGAAGAATAGTGAAACAATATGTTCGCTACTAAGGAAAATTCATTTAATTCATAAGTACAAAGCATCAATAAAAAAAATTTTCAACAACAATTTTTTTAAAATTGTTTTAGCTTGTCTTTGTGGAGGCATCGATGTTGTCAGCAGGACTTAATCGAGGTCACAATGTGTCCCATTAGTCAAAGCATTTTGAGACCCTTGCTTTAAAATAATGATTATGATATAATTGAAAGATTACAAACATAAAGCCTTGGTTCTCTAAGATATAGCTAGACATCCGACCTGTCACAATTAGTCAATTCAGGATTCATCAGGACAGAAAGGGGAAAAAAAGCTTTAAAGATATTTTATTTGGAAGATTTTAATAGTTTTATCTTAATAATACAGTTGATATCTACAACTATACAAATAACAAAAGAAATTTATACTGATCCTATATAATCTCTTTACAATAGCTATTAATTGGACTACATCTGATTAAGAATTGGATTGTTTCCAAGGTTCAATGACATCCACAGAAGTAGGACATATTTGCGCTAAACACCTATCCTCCCTGTTTTTAATTCCATGGGAAAAGGGAAATAACCTCAATATTTAATTTGATACCAATTTTATTAAATCTAAAAAATATAAGAACTAAGATAAACAGTATCAAAATAGGTAAAATCCTTTCTTTTTTTTAAACATTAATAAAATGAGAATAAAAACGAATAATTGATAAAGAAAACATGCTAGATCAAATATTATAGGATCCTATCAATACAAGCTTTTTGATAACTTTTTCATGTAAGTTGGAATTAATGGAAGAAATAAATCCTTAAAAATGTTAATATCATTATGGTAAGAAACATAATCAATACAGTAATTGTGGAATATGTTATAAAACAACAATTTTGAAAAATTAAGAGCGTTTTAAAAATTTTAACTTCATCCACATTCAGTTTATCATTTGTTTATTTTTTAGACCTTATACTATTCAAAGGAAAATAAATAAAAGGCATGCTTAAGTGTAAACAATGTATTTTCAAGCTCCTATGTGTCATGACGACATCAATGAATTTTCTATATATTGTGAGAAGTTAATTGAACATGACATTTTAAAAGTAATAAATCAATTTTTATCATATTTGATCTTAGATAATAATGGAATAATCTTATAAAAATGATGACAAGTATATCATTTTATAAAAATCCATAAGTTATTTAAAAGTAAGGCATAAGTGTCATGTCTGATTGACAGAAGGGTTAAGATAATATCGATTATATTGTGGATGGAATTCTGAAAGTGGCAGTATTGATGACTATGTTCATGGGTGGACTAGTGACACTCAATCATTCGAGAAACAAACCCCTATGGGTCCTTGAGAAACCTTCAGTTAAGATCGGTGCCTACCCAAGCAGGACCTAGCTATCAATCAGATGTGACAAGTACAGAAAGTAATCGTCAACAGTTGAGTGTAATTAATCTAATTTAAAAAGCTGGTGAGGTGAGAGGTCAATAGATACATTCTATATTTTATAGTACCCTTTACTCTTTTGTCTGTGTCAATCAAATAGCATTGCAGGATGGAGCTTCAACATTGTAGGTTAAAACATAGGCAAATGATTAAATGTTACTACAGTATATGTGTTTATTGACCACACCCCGACCTAATTTTCCTCAAATTGAATCTTATTCAATAACTTTGTTTGAACTCAGTAAAACATTAATACTTACTGCTCTCACTGCCTATTATATAGTATTTATTAGAAAAATATTCTTCCTCAGCAGTATAGGTAACTGTTTCAGTAGTTGTTTCATTGTTGTCTTTTCTCACAGACTCAGTTTCAGACCAAGAGACTTTAGCTTTTCCTGAGAATTCTATCTTTAGACCTATTTTACAAAATACAAAACTCTATCAATAAGGAATCATAACATTTTCTAAATCTTGAATAATTAACAAAGTTTACCTCTAACTTTTTTTGGTTTTTCTAAAGCAACAATGACCCTACCAGTGACATTCGATCCTGCATAATATGAACCTGTGGGACTGTCCACAATGATTTGGAAGGTTTTGTAGCCCATGATTCTCGAGAGAGCGAATTAACTGTTTCAAATTTTATTGGTTAAATTTTTAACTCGAGATTCCTTAGTATTAAAAATAAACACTACCTCAGACATGACATCACGCCCTTAAACTTTCATGGAAAGCCAGTCTTGCAATCACGAACAGCTCCAGATAACTGATATCTTAAATGAATGTAACTCTATTGTGAACTAGGAACGAAAAGCATTCTAAAAATAACGTAACAGCTTTAGTATCAAGTTACTAAACTACCTCCCTTCGATAGGTAATAGTGATATTGTGCCCATTACCTAGGGAAGGAGGATATTTCAGTGGATAAGATAGTGTACTCCTCTTATCTGAATTAAGTCCGTCTATAACAACAATATATTTTATAAGTGGATCGACTCTGTGGCCCAGATATCCTGAAAAAGTACATTGCAGGTGTTTTTATTATTATTATTGTATCTTAATTGAAAGATGATGAATTGTATTAAATAATTAATTGTGATTTATTCTTTCTATCAGCTCAATTATAGCTGATATTATAATTGCAATATTAAATCTTTCAAAAATTAATTATTAGGTGACCGAACGGGCTACGGTGCTTGCAAAAGGTAATTAAAGATAAGTAACATCGAAGATGCTGGTACTTCAATGAGAGATCGCCCAAACAGAGTGTTCCCCTCCGAAGAATTTTGGATTTTTCGCACACGCAGTTTGGGATTTATAGAACGAACTATGGAGAGAAATTTATTTGGGAAATAAATAAGTGAAATTTCTGCATCCTTTTTGCAAAGGATGTGGAAAAACTCATTCAATTTTTATTTATTAAGATGGATTTTTAAACGAGGACAAAGTATTTATTTATTAGGTTAAGTCTGTTTATTTATTGTGGTCAAGTCTGTGGATTGCACCCACCATTTTCTTCCATACGTATGTAAAGACCTTGAAGTATGGGTATTTCACCATGGTCATTAGCAGGGATATATTACTTTCTGTTGGAACCCAAAGTACTGTCTGCTTCAATAGCTTGGCCCTCAGTTCTTCATAGGCAGTACAGGCTAGTACAATAGGTCGAATGGTCTCCGGAATCCCAAAACTTGGGTACAGAGAATTATTATTTTACTTTATCCTCCCGGAGGACCCTTCATGGTAACATCTCCTCTTCTCACTTGTAGGTTTTCCAAATCCGCTTTGCATTCTTTCTTACACATATGCCAGGAGTAATCTTCTCGTAATAGAAAGTTCAGAGGTAGATATCCCTCCTAAGATCTGCACCGCCTCATGCGGCACTCTTTAAATTATGTTGTGACTGGAAATAGAACTTCCTGTAATCCTCGCTAACAATAGTTTTAGGACGAGCCCACTCAGTCGATTCTTTTAATCGGGTGGGCTGGTTATTGGCAGTGATCAGCATCTTCTTTCTTCATCTTTCAATATAGCATAACTTTTTTAGGTCAGCTCATCGATCAAATAATCGAAATAAGCCGTGCCGGGGAACCTTCTCCACAAACACTGCCAACAACTCGTTGGAAACCGATTTTCACTACCAAGTACAGTACCCTACTGATAATACTTTTCCATAGTCTTCTGCTTCAAAGAAGCTACACTTTATTTTCAACATCCGGTTTGGGAGTGAACTTCTCAAAAGTTCAAACAAGTTGGTAAGAGGTTTATACTTGTGAACTGCTTGAGTAGGCATGTCCACCAAACTCTATCACGCAGAAGCCTAACTAATCCCTCCGCCCTCTCATCAACGGCGTGGCGCACTCTTAACAAGGCCTTTGCTGTCCTCCTACCTTTAGAGCATCCGTAATATTAAATTATACAATCCTTTTTCATACCGTGGGAGCTGGCTGAATTTCTCACCTAAAAGCTATCACTTGATATCACGGGGGGATCTACGGGGGAGGGAGGGCTTTCGGGCTGAAGCCCCATCCCCCCCAAAATGGTAAAATATAACCATGTTTTATCGAAAAAAAATATTAAGAAATTGTCTTTCAAAGTATAATTGTTCGTGTAATTACATTTAAAAGGGCTTTAGGAATCACTTAAACACCAGTTCATATAGGTAGCTAGTTTCTTTCTTATTTTCCAAAGTAATTATCGCTATTTTTATGAAAAAAAAGCTTTCGGGCTGAAGCCCCCCAAAATTTAATCCTGGATCCGCTAGTGCTTGATAGCCAAAACTCGTCTCAAAGCTGAGGGTCAAATCGAAGAAGCGGCTTGCTAGCATCAAGGATCCCAGTGTCAAAACCCTGCTTGCACCATAGAAACCGTAGGAATGATCATCGAAATGTAGAAATAAATGAAAAAGTCAATTTTCTCTCACGATTAATAAGTCAATTAGAAAAATATAAAAGAATAGAATATTTAAAAACGTTCTACCAGAACATGTACAACACCTAATACATACAAAGATATTTTCAAGCGACATTAGCCTTAACCATATTTTCAAGAGCAGTAGCAGAGAGGCTTATAAAAGCATCTTACAACGACAAATTATTGCTTATGACGACGTCACTAACAGCATATGATAAGTTAGAGCATGTTCTAGCATTGAAATATTTAATAAACAACGTGTTTAAACCTAAAAGGCGACAATTTTTAACTATAATGTTGGATTATTTATTTATTTTTTTTTTAATGTTAAATATTCATCTTCCAAAGATCACAATCATTAATTGTAGACAAACGCGTAGTCAGCTCGAAAAAAAAAAATGATTTTTCAACTAGCATAACTCATTTAAGTAAATTAAAGATTTATATCGAACTAAAATAATATGATTGAAGAGAAGATTGGTTGGGGTGTTCAGTCAAAATGTAAAAATAAATAAATTATATTTATTTAGACGAGAATCTGTCGTCTGGCCAGCCCTGATGAAAGCCTGAACTATGGGCCGAAATGTCGGCCAAAATAAAAACAAATATAATTTATTTATTTTAAATTTTTTTTTACTAAACATCCCAACCAATCTTCTCTTCAATTATTCACTACCGCCAGCCATAAATCCACAATTGAAATAATATAAACATATTAAATAATCCTTCAGTACATATTACATCAGCTATCCTTAGTTATTACCTTATCCTAGAGAAAAAATTATACTGATATTAATGGCCCAGGTGGAGTAGAAACTTTTATTTTTTAGGTCCTCCCCTTCCTCGCCGTTAAAGGCTATACAGGGTTTTCCCGGGCCAGGGGGTGTGAGCCGTGATTTAAAAGACTCCCCCGGCACCGGGACACGAACTCGTGACTAATTTTGTATCATTGAGTCATATATCAGATTGCCGGGCAACAGTGGTGCAGTGCACACGCTTTAGCCCATTCGGCCACCCCGCCCACAGGTGGAGTAGGAACTTGCTGCTGGACAGTTTTAGAGGAGCAGAGCTGTCGCGTCTTTTTGGCGCCCAGGACGAAATTATATCAGATACTCCCCTGAACATCCCTCGAACTCGACCAGGAGTATATTGTCTCATGTTTACGGATTATATGCATTGTACTTAATAATACTTATGCACTTCGTTCACGACCGATAAATCTCTTGCCACCTTTTTGTAATTTATCATAACATAACCCTGGGCCCACACTTCAGGCAAATCGAGGCAAATTCCCGCATTTTGCCTCAGTTTTATGGGAATTTGCCCGAGTTTGCTAGCGCCACTGTCGTAGAGAACAAAGGAAAGGGCGAGAGTGGGAGAAGGTGGTGGGGATATTTTGACCAGCTGGTGGAAGGTAATGGGCTGTGGTAATGGGATTTTTTTTCATAAAAATAACGATATTTACTTTGGAAAAACAGAAAGAAACTAACTATCTATAAGAAATGGTGATTAAGTGATTCCTTAAATCCTTTTAAATGTAATTAAACCAACAATAATACTTTAAGAGGTATTTTTTAATTTTATCCCTCATAAAACGTGGTTATGTTTTACCATTTTGGGGGGGGCTTCAGCCCGAAAGCCCCCCTCCCCCGTAAATCCACCCGTGGTACTATGAAATAGCTTTTTTAACAATAACATTGCGTTGATTAGGTGAATTTTAAATAGTTTTTTCAAACTTAAAAACAGTTTAAATTTAGTTAATAAATTTCATTTATTTAATTTACTTGAAAAAATGTGATTTCCGTTAAATTATATTAGTTTACACAAATTATTATTTATAATAATCTCTCTCCATTACTTTCTATATTTCATATTGTTTTTTTCTAAAATTATCCGCTTTCCAATGATATAACTTCTGACAAGTATTTCCGGTAATTCATTTTCATCCTCAATACACATTTTCCCTTTTTTCTCCATTTTTCAATTATCAAATTCTTTCAAAAGTTATATTTAGCATTTTTTCTTAATTCTTAATAATGAGAGATGGTGAATTATTAAAAATTAATCAAATTAAAGGTACTTTAGAGGATGAAATGTTGAACATTTAGGCATTTAAGCTATGTAAAGTGACATTAATGGGGATAAGACCTCAATGATATTAAAGACCACTTAATTATACAATAATACACGAGTTTAATCAAAATTTTATGTGCAACCAGCTTTCTGTCTTTCAGTAATAACAAACAAATCATAAACTACAAAAATAAAATGAAGATATTATTTGCCATTAAATGAATTATGGAAGTTTGTTAGCGGAAGGGTTCATATAAATAAAATTAAATAAGATATAATGAAATATAACATATATTTTTGAACATTTTTACATAATATATTTTAAATAACAAAACTTTTAATCCATTACTTGTTTTTCCCATTTTTCATTACTTATATATTTTATTTGATTTATTATATTTCCATTTATTTGCTATTTGTACTTATCTTTTTGAGTGTCAGGTATATATATCATAACCTTTCGTACTTATTCATTACCTTTTATTATCATAAACTAAGTTTTTGTTAATTCATCTAATTACATTTTATTATTCATATCTAATTATTCCATTTTATGTTTCTTCTTCATTTAATACTACTCTTCATTGTTTATTTCCGTTTTATAGTTGAATTGAAATACTTT